GCTGCTGCATCTAAAGTAGTAAAGCACGAGAATACATGCATAAAAAATCAACATGTGTTTATACCTTTTCTCTTTGATACCTTTGGTTTTCTCGCACCAGAGGCGGTGGAGCTTCTCAACAGAATCCAACGGGTCATGCATTCTAATGTTATATCTTCTAGATTAACGGATGTTGTTTTCAAAAGAATTAGTTTTGTCATCCAGAAAAAACTAGCGACACAGATTGTTGTCCCTTTACGTTCGGTCAATATGTATTGAACACTGTTTTTTTTCAATCTTACGTGATTATCATTGATCTGATGTAAGCAATCTGTCAGTGCTTCATGGTTAAGAACAAGAATATTAATCTTTTGGTAAAAGAATTATTTTTTATAAAAGCTCGACAAATGCATTTGCATAATTGAACACTTTTGTTTACCATTGAAGTACGGTGCTCTAATCAATGAGGTGTGTCCACTTGATTAATATTTTAGTGAATCGAATCAGAATGCGAACATATAAAAATATAAGTGTATTATTATTTATATAAATAAAATGAAAATGCTAAAGTAGATAAAATATGATCTTTATCGATGGCTATATATAATAAATTAAAAGTGATGATAGCTCATGAGCTCGTGACATTTAATAAATCATTATATCTTTACAGATATTTGTATAAATGAATTTTTTTACCAAATAAAATATATATTTACAAGAGCAATTTCTTTTAGAACGGTCTAGAGTAGTTAACTATACGATTTGTGATATTTTCTTAATAACGTGTAAAGTTGATCTGGACGCACAATTGTACATCCACGTGGTGCCAAAACTTGTTAATTATAAATTTATAATCTAATTTTATCTTGTCAACATATTATCATTGTATTGCAGTTTTTTTTTTATTTGAGTTTTTTATACGGTGCATTATTTTTTTCTATTGAATTTCATATTTTATTGACCAATTTGTTATGATGACCAGATATGGTAACTGTAAATTAAAAAAAAAATGCAAAAAATACACCAAGTTTTTATTTTTTTATTTTTTTATACTAATTTTTTTTACTTTTGTTTTGACGTTCCATTTTTTTTTACGAATCGAACATTGTTTATCAATTTTGTTCAGTATTAATGTTTTCATTTAAAATCATATAAATAATTATTTTTATATTTAAAAATATGTAAATACAAGGTTTTTTTTTACATTCAAACCATAATGGTGTATATATATATATATATATATATATATATATATATATATATATATATATATATATATATATATATATATATATAGGAAAATGATCAATGAAAACGCCTAAAAGGTTGAGAACGCGAGAACAAATCTGGTACATTAAATATTTATAATCTAAGGATGTCATTAATCATTAATTTAAACAAAATATTAAATGAATTTAATTTTTTTCAATTAAAAAAAATAGAAAAGGGTATTCAAGTAATTTTATGATGTCATCCATTTTGAATATATCAGGTAAATTTGAAAATTAAAAGAAACCGTTCCTATGAATTAGTAATCACAGTTAACTTCTAATCTTTTGGATGATTCGATCGTATCTTGAATGCAAAATATCGTTACAGCTAAACGTTTATACGAGACTCGATTAATACTGTTCATCCGTAAAGAGGTATTTTGCATTCAGAACTCCGTGAAGGGTTGAAGGTGGAGGAATGTCGTCGATGATCAACCGAAGTGGAAGAAGTAAGCTTTCTAATCTTTTTTGAATGTCGATTGACTGGAAAACGGGTGTAGTAGTGTGTTTATTTTTTGTTAATATGTACATTTTAACGATTCTTAAAACCCCAGAAGTTGGGTTTTTCGATTTTTCTTTATATCATCGATTATGAACTGTAGTGATTCTTCATCGTTGATGATTGTTGATTTAAAGGTTGTATTTTACAAATAACATGTTGGTGTATGTGAATGTTTAAATGAAAATGGTAATTGTAGATGAGTTTCGAAGTTACGGTATTCTAATATTGAATGTGTTTAAAAATTAATCGTTTATGATTGTGTTTGAAAGTTCTAAGATGCATATACATGTCTAATCGTAGTCGACTACTTTGAACTGAAGTAAGGTTACGAAAACCCAAAAATTAGGGTTTTTTTTTTACTTTTGTTTTAAGAGTGTTATTGTTGATCAATGGCAAAATAAATACATTATAAGTAGGACAAGAGGAGTAATTGATGTTAGTATTCGATTGTGAATGGTGTTTAGTAGAAAAATAATAACGAAGGGTATAAATGTCATTCATTACTAATGATTACTTGTAAAATCCAATTGTTTGTGCGACAGAAGTACTTTTCTAGTATTAATCCTTGTTGTTGGTTGTATATTATGTATATTGTTAAAGTCATATTCAGTTGTGAATGGGTACTTTATTGAGTATGCATGTGGTTTTGATCCTGTACATGATGTACTAAGTAAAGAATAATGGTGTAGGAGTCCCTACTGTTCTTTGTGAGTAAGTTAATTACACTGTTTGTTTATTGATGATTATTGTAAACATTCCTCTATTTTTGGGTATGTGTTTAATTGTGTTTGTGTTTAGTAGGTATAATTTATGATTATTTGAGTTGTTAATGATTCAATTCTGATTTATAAATGATTATGGTATTTTAATTCTACTATTAGGTAGAAAGAAAAGGGAGAGGATATTACTAAAGATGGCATTCAACAAATTCACTAATGAAGAATCCAATCCATTGCTTATTGATATTGAAGATGAAGACAATGAAGGAAACGAAATAGTACAACCTCGGATTAAAAGAGAAGGACAAAAGAAGTGTTCAACACCTAAGAAGAAAACTAAAAAACAAACTGGTGGTGATGATGACTATATGAAATTTAAAATGTTAAATATCAATTGGAATCTATAGTGACTATGTGTCTTATTTTTTGGACAGGTGAGGGGAACGTATTAATCGCACACCAGCTCATTCAATGCGAAGGGATCTTAAAGTTGTAGTTTTGAGCTCAGATTCAAGTAATGTACTTGTTTAAAAATAAATTTATTTAGAGTCTGATGTTGTAGTTAGTTTTAATAACTTGTGTTGTTTTGTATTTATTAGTAGAAAAGAACATGAAACCCAAAATCAATGTGAAGAAGTTTGATGGGGGAAATTCAAGGTTTTCAAAATCTAAAAAAAATATACAGAAACAAAGAGGTATCAATGATGATTTCATGTAATGTAACTTGTATATTAAAGTAACTTCAGTTATTATTATGTTGTCTACTTATTGGCAGGTTTGATTGAAAGTTATGACATGACAGAAAATAGTGGAATAAATAGGGAAAATGAATTGAGAACAAAAAGTCGTTTTGATAGATGTAAAATAAAAGGTGATGAAGTTGTTGTTATAAACTCATGTTCAGGTAGTGTTTTTTTTAATAAATTTAGTATAGTATTATTTTGGTAATTTATTTATAATAATTTATTGTGTTAAATATGTCTTAACAGGAAAATATAAAGTTACTGTCCAGAAGCTTGATGAAGATGAAGACTCTGATTTTGAAGATGACAAACCTATGGTAACAAGGAAAAGGAAAAGGCATTATACTTCATTCAAAAATTATGAAAAAGAAAATGTGAAGAAATTTAAAAGACAAAGGAATAAAGAAGGAAATGTAGTGAAAGCAAGAAAATTGCGTAAAGTTGTAGCAAGTGATGCAGAAGAAGCAAGGCGAATACAAGTACGAACATCTTCAAATGTTTTGTACAGTTGTATGCATAACCTTAGCAAGAAACAGGAAGCTTATATTTCTTCTATTGGTCTGGGCCATTTGTTGAATATGAAAGTGGATGGGTGTGCATCAATTATGGGGCATTATATTGTAAGGAATTTTGATGCAGATAGGATAGTACTCAAACTTCATCATGGAGAGATACCAATCAATCGGCAAGTTATTCACGAAATGTTGGGTCTGCCTCTGCGACATGTTACAATAAAGTCCATGCCTTATAGAGAAGTCACAGACGACACAATAACAATTTGGAGAAAACAATTCGAAGATGAAGATAATATTAGACCAAGGGAAGTTCAACAAGTTATTATGCAATCAACACGTGCAAATTTAATCTTTAAAGTAAACATGTTTGTCCTGTTGTGTAATACACTAGGTCAGTCGATGAGCATGGGAACATGTGACATGTCCATGTTAACAAAAGTCACGAAAGATCTGGATCTAAGTGACATTGATTGGTGTGGATATGTTTTTGATTGCCTTAAGGAGACAAAATGTGCATGGAATCCAAACAGCAAAAAAGGATTCTATGTTGGGCCAATTACATTACTGCTGGTAAGGTTTGTTTTAAATTTAGTTGTCATTCAATATTGGTAGACTTATGTGTGCAGATTCATTAAAGTGTATTTAAGTAATACATTTTTTATTTGTCTTTGTTGTAGTTGCTATACGTAGAAAGTGTTCGATGCAATTCAGTGAAGATTGTACGATGCAGACCAGCAATATGTTGTTGGAATGTTGATAAACTACGTGAGCGAGAAAGAGTAGAGTGTAGGACAATTGGTCTGGGTATGGGTGAATTGCAAGATCCATTTCAAGTCATCAATGAAGCATCGGGAACTGGTAATATAGGGCAAGAAAAAGTTCAGGTAATATTTTATTGTATTGAATAATGCATATGAAATTTATTATTTGTTATTTTTGGTATAATCTAAATTAATTATATTCATACATTATTGATAGGGAAATGATGCAGGAGGTGTAGGTGTAAGGTATTAATATAATATAATCATTACTAAATAATAAGTTATTAGTACAACAACTAATATTGTATTACTTTTCGTAGGGAAATCAATGAGATGAGATTTTTAGTGGAAGTGGAGAAAGTGTTGAGGAGTTTACTACCTATTCACATTTGAATAATTAGTTACTATAGTACTAATTAATACTAACTGACATATTAATGTTTTTATTTGGTTTGTAACGTAATTCTATTGTGGTGACCTAATTAGACAACTATTTCAACAATAAAGGAGATGTACGACGTGATATTGCAGCAAAAGAAAGTGTTGGAAGACAAAATAAATGATGCTGTCAAGAAATATCCTGAGAATCAGTTGGTCAAAGAATGGAAAAACAAAGTAAATGATTTGTTTAGTGAAGTTTCCGCATCACAGAACCAGAACAATGTCAATGGTATGAGAACGAGGCTGAAATTGAACGTACACTGATTCTAGCTACAACTCACAAACAGTTTGACAACTCCCTGATAGCAAAATGTAGTATTCAAATGTCACAGGAATATGCAGACTTCGCGAATAGATCTGGAAGAAAATATTTTAAGAATACACCACCATCTAAAATGGAAATGCCAATTCCTTTGTCTGTAGTACCATTCAACAATGATGAACATTGTGTTAGTAGAAGAGGGTACAGGCCTCGCATGAAATCCGAACATCTGAAATCTCCTTACATTATACGGCCTGTTGATATCATCAAAGGAGTTCCACGGCAGGAAAAACGTGTAGCAGAATGGATATTCTCACTCCAGGGAGAGCCAAAGTAAGTTGCATTTAAAATATTTTTAAAATTACTTAATTTTGTTGGTTGCTTATTAAAAATAGTATTAATTGGTCACATCTTTTGCAGTGATATAGTTTTCCACACTTTGGATGGTTTTTCTGCTCAGAGGTTTCACATGGAAAGTTTTTTTTCCAACATCTGAACTATTTGGCCATGTCATTGATTGTTGGAGTCAAGTGTTGAATCTTGATGAAAGTAAGCGTGCACCTGAATCGCCTCTGAGAGTTTATTTCAAGACAGATGTGATGGTATAATTTAATATTGTTCAATGTTGATTATACTATTTTTTAAATACAACATATAAATAAGTTAATGAGTTTGTAAAAATGCATCACAAAATTCGTATCTTAAAAGTGATTTAACAAAAAGTTAACGTAAAGATAAATTCATTGAGAATCTGGTGCTTTCTATTGAAGATATGGATGCAAGCCTACGTTTTGTTGGATTGGTAAGAGATATATATCCACAGTTTACTTATGTGTTTATTTATCATTGATCAAATATGAATATTAAATAAAGTGAATACAATTGTAATGAATAAACGTTGCAGCTTTTCCTACCAATCATTCGTTCCTTCCACATTTTCCTTTTTGTGATCAATCTACAACACCCAGAGTTTGTAATCATTGACAACAGCAAAGTTGATGATCCTGATGGTGAGACATATGGTCAGTTTCCCTAAATAATTGTAAGTGATTATAAAAATTACTTTACATAGTTAATAAAATTTCATATGTGTTGACAATGTTTTTTACATTTTCAGAAAGAGTACATAGTTGATTACTTAAAAATCTCAGAATCATCCAAAAGCTGAGATGTTTTCACATGTGATGCCACATAGACTGGAAATGCCTAGGAGAACAATAAACATTAGCCTTGATTGTGGTGTGTTTACGATGCGTCACATGGAAACATATATGGGTGGAAGTATGAATAAGTTTAAAGTTGGGTTCAAGAAGGAGTCTTCTGCACAAGATGATCAACTTGTTAAACTGAGGACAAAGTATTTATACAAAATCATCACTCATGAATATAATGTGCAAAAGGATTATGTGCTGCAAAAGGTTGATGAATTCCACAAGATTCATTCAAGACAACATTCTCAACTGTTGGCCATTGCAAAGGAAGAAATTCACAGGAGATTGGATGATTTAAGTTAATTATGTTAAAAAAGTTATTTTAGTTATGACTTCAATGGTTTCTTTTGGATAGTTTTAAAACAATGGTTTTGTATGCTAAGGATATTAGCTTGGGTTGCTGAACGTACAATAGTTACTTTTGGTTTGCTAATTTTCTAATGGATTAGTGATATTTTAGTAGCTATAATTTTACATTAACATTTGAAAAATTAAGTTATGTTAAAAAATGATGATTAACATTGATGGTATAGTTTTAGTGTATATTCAGGAATGATTCTTACTAACAAACATTTGTTAATATGCTATGTTACTATGACCATACAATCAGAATTTTTAATAATTAAAGTGAATATATCTATATTATATAATGATTGTTGTTGGGTTTATATCTTAAAGTATGTTATTCAAATATTGAATAATAGCATAAATACTTGAATTATTCCTAACATATTATACTTTAAATGAAAATTGTTTTAACTTAACAGATGAGTATTTAACAATTTTCATATCATCAATATGTTGAAAATAATTAATGTATTTATGATGTTATTCATTATTGACTATAATTAAGGGTTTAAAGTCGACCATGGTTAAACTTATGAATAAAATTTACCCAAAAGCAAACGTAAATCAATATATGATGTATAGGTGTTTTAAAAGTTAATCGTACAAACATTTGTTATTAAGATATACTACTAACAACATACAATAAACTATGAATACTGCTTGAATTGTATATGACTATAGTATATAATGATTGATGGTTTTATAATTTCAAGAAAGGAAAAGTATATCTATTCTAAGTGCAAATTTTTTTAATCAAATAAAAGAGGTTTAAATGCCAGATAATATCATTAATCTGTTAGGATTACCAAATTTGGCATTGCTATTATTCATCGTTGAATAAAACAAAACATTAAAAATAATGAAAGTGTTTTAAGATAACATAACATACTAAATCATAGAAACATAGTCTTATTCATAAATCTAATAGAAAAGTAAAATCTACTGGGAAAACGAATGGGTAATTTTAATCTACTTTTGACTCTCGTGCAAGTCTTACTTTGCAAGTCCTCCAATTATGGTTAACATATTGATTGTAGCCTGTGCACATTCTGGTTTTTTTCTTTGCAGCTGCAACGGCTTTCTCAATAGCACTAACCATTCTTTTCTTAGTTCCACTACCTTTGGTACGTATAGATGCAGGTGGATGGATATTTATTTCATCAGGAATGCTGCGTATTCCAAGCATCCGAATAATTTCTTCTTCATCGTTATCTGGTGATGTTTGGTTTGAACTACCAAACTCCATTGGTGCCTGCTTCAACGTACGTGTTTTTTCAACAAATTCCAAAAATTTCTTATTGCTTCTTTTGAAATGATCCAAGCAGTATGCAATATTGATGTATGCCTTTGTTAGAAGTTTAAAGGTGTCATCTTCTGTTTCCATGGCAACATATTTCATGGCAAGCAAATGGCTGGAAATTACATCCCTTCTCCATCTTCTTAGAATATACTGCTCTGGAATCTCTTCAACTTGGTTGTTTCTCAATACAACAAAAATATGACGACACAAAATGCCAGTATGTATGAAGTGATTGCACGAACATTTAACTTCTTTTTCAGGCAACTTTAGTTCAACCTACATTGTATAATAAAAATAATGTATGTTAGTAACTGATTGAATTAACATATTAGTTGGTGGTTATTGCATAATATTGAAAAATATATATGTAATTTAAAAATAATGATATAATATACTTGTATGATGACTAATGAAAAGCGTTTAAACGATGAATATAACCTTGCATTTTATCTTCAACTGTTTGCTCTTATCTGTTTGTGTAATCATAACAACTTGCCACCCATCAATCTTTTCAACATTGTCGATAGAACAGTACTAGGCTGCTTTAAATATTTCCTTTTTGACCTCATAGAAATTTTTTTTAGTGTAAACCGCAGCTGCATGTTCTAGTAAGCCACTTGGAAGCGTCATTTCATGCTTTGCATTTTTTGTATCATGTTCTAGTTTCTGTTGAGCATTTCGTTGCTTTCCAATTGCGGTGTCGTAATTCATCATGAAATAGATAAGCAAATTACCATAGTTAGAGTATTTATTAAAAAATGAGTTCACGCTTTCAGTCCTTGAAGTAGTTTTCATTAGACCATGTAGTGGCATGTCTTTAAAATAGCCTGGAATCCAAAGTTTTCGATCCCTGTACATGTCTTTGAACCATCTTTTGTCTTGTAGTTTGAATTTTCTCATAAGCAGTTTCCACCTTGATTCAAACACTTTAGGCTCGATGTGGACATTCCAAACAAGCTTCGTAAAACGCTTTTGAAAATCAGTGTTTTTCAAAAAATCGGCTGAAACCTAAAAAAAGAATATAAATTTATAAGATTAACTATGAATAAACAATATGTATGCTAATCGTTATTAATAATATGCAAACTGTGCAAATCATTGCTGAATAAAACATGTTGTGTGTTAACTTAAACCAAAATATACACGCCTTGGCTTGTATTTTTTTTCATAATGTGCCATATACATAAACGATGATTAGAAGTACGAAATATTGCTTCAACAGCCTGTAGAATTGATGGATCTTGGTCTGTTAACACTAATTTAGGGTGTTTTACATGTGCTTTCAAAAAAGCTTCGAGCAACCAACGATAAGATTCTATTGATTCGTTGCTTAACAAACCTACTCCAATGTTTATTGAACGTTTGTGGTTATCAATGGTTGTAAAAGGCACAAAAATCATTCCATACTTGTATTAAAAAGGTAATTAAAAACAAATTCAACATTGATTATAAACTCAATATACATCAATATTCATATTTAAATAAAAAAAATGTATAATAAGTATAAGAGCATACTTATTTGTTCGGAATGTAGCATCAAATGATATCACATCTCCAAACTCCTTGTAATATAAATTATCGGTTTCATCCGCCCAAAACATTGCATTTAAGACACTATCAACACATTTATACTCAAATGTGTAGTTATGTAACTCATCTTTCCTCATGTTCATTTTGTCAACAACCAGTTGTGCATCCTTGTCACATATAATGTTTCCCATCTTCCTTCTGAAATTTTTATAATCAATTGCGTCAGGGACAACGTTTTCATAACCTCCTTGCAAACTATCTTGTAACTTATGTGCCTTTGTTGCACCAATGTTAGATGTTGATGAACGCACTATAAACTCCTTGTCTTTATGACTAAGTCGTCGTGCACATTTGGAATATTGTCTTTCTTCTTTAGTCTCTAGGGGGTGGTTGTGATTCTCTTCACACTCATATATTTTACAAGCATTAGTTTGCATATGTAACCTTTCAAACTTTATCAATGCCTTGCAGTCCGTGATTTTGAAGTTTGAGTTTCGTTTATTCCTTCCACTTCCCTCAGGATCCAAAGTGTCAGTTTATCTGTTAGGTATTTTACCCATTTTGTTGCACACTACATACCTTTTTTTAATGGTTTTGTCACCGAACCTCGTTACTGTATTTAACCTTACACCAAAACCTACTTTATCTGCATATAATTTATACATTTCAACCGCCTCCTCTAATGATTGATATATAGCATCTACATCTGACATAAAATCTTTAGGAACAATAGGTTTCCACAACATGGTTTTCCCACCAGGCGAGTCAACAACATTACTATTGAATGATTCCTCTTCAGAATCAGTTCGATTCGTACCCGTTTTTTAAAACAACAAAAAACAATAATGCGACATGCAAGACATGATATAAATTTCTATCAATTACGTATACATAAACTACAGAATTTTATAATCATAATCAACGTCTGTGAAACAGTAACCAAAGTTGAAGTGTTTACTCATTTTAATCGTATTAATGTATAATCACCAATGATTATCAAACTTAATCAACATTGTATTAAACTTAAGAAAAAAATCACCAATGAGGGACTCCTATACAACGTCTGTGAAACAGTAATCAAAGTTGAAGTGTTTACTCATTTTAATCGTATTAACGCATAATCACCAATGATTATCAAGCTTAATCAACGTTGTATTAAACTTAAGAAAAAATGTACAACGAGGGACTCCTGTAAAACGATCTGTGATATACACCAGCATTACATAATTAATACATTCAATGTACATGACTAATCGTATACAAATATGTACTCCGGTCTTATTCATCATATACAAAAATTCAATAATTATTGTAATACAGGATCTGTATTTACAAGATGTTGATATTGTTTTCATTTTTTACCTTCACTCGCATAATCAGATAATTGATTTCTTCTACTGTATTGATCATCCGAATTATAGAAATCGTCGTCATCATATTCATTACAGTTGATTGCTTCTTCGTCATATTGATCATCATCATCTTCTGTATCATCGCTACTGTAATCAAAACAGTCCGACATCGATATTGATTTGAATCACGAATGGTATATTGCGTTGTTATCTTCAACCGTAAATGATGAACAATATACAAAAGTCGATTGAATGCAAAATCCCAAATTCTATACTGGAAATCGTCCGTGGAAATTGTATCTTCAATTCAATATTTCCTTGAACGATAACTATGGAATATCCCTTAATTATAGGTAAATATTAATGGATAATATATTGATTATTCATTGTATTATATTAATTAAAAATTAGATTAAATACAAATTTACTTAAATTCGTAACTTTAATATGAGCTTGGGGGTATGAAGTACATAGTCAAATAAACTAAATTGATCTCAAAGAACATCAAACTAAGCAAAGTATTTTATGTTGCTGAATTTTAGATTTTACATGAAATCCAAATTAAGTTTTATTGGATTAACTCAAATATGTTTTTGTGTCACTCTGTCATCATGCCACACCAGTGCTAGAGGTGAGCAAAACCGGAAAACTAAAAACAAAAAAAAATGAAAAAATAGAAGCCAAACATAAAATTGATGGTTTCTTGTTGGTTTTTGTGAGTATGGATTACGACAGACCATTTGAGTTGTCCTTTAGACGTTTTTGAGTGCATGGTGTCTTAAAAATGCAAGCTTGGTTCTTTGCTTTCATCCATGCATGAGTTATGGAGCTTTTGGTGATGTTAGAAGTTAGGGTTTTGGGATTGAGCTCTCTTTATCCTTGCAAAGGCATAAAGTTAGAGACTTTATGGATTTGAATGCCTTTTATGGTCACATCTGAGGTTGGGGTTAAGTCTCTTAATGATTAAGAGCTTAAAAGCTAAGACTTGAATTTAGGCTGAGTATGCCAAGCATAAATCTGGCTATGCCCAGTGTAGCCAACTGGGAGCTCATTTTTAGGTTTTGTGCTCTACGCCAAGCATAGAGCCTTGGTACGCTGCATGTAAGGTCAAATTTGTTGACCTTTGACTTTTTATCCGAGAGTGACTTTTGGTCAATTTGTGAGGGTTTTGGTCTTGGAAGGGGAAAAATGGTCTTTAGCCCAAATTATGGGTTAGACTTGGCTTGGGACTAGTTGAGTTTGGATAATTATCTTAATTGCTAATTATAGTTATTTCGTGTGATTAATACGTGGAGTCTAGTTCCAGCAGTTTGGGTGTGAGTTTTATTAGTCTTCGGTGCGAGGTGAGTCTACTCACTGTACTTGCATGTGTAGTAGTATATACGTGCTGACCAGATGGGTCTTATGTGTTGTTACTGTGATATGTGTTATTGTGTGTGTATTAGTCTCCAGGGTTGCCGATAACCTACAGGGCGTGTTATTTGTCCACTGAGACTGCAGGTAGTCTCCAAGGTTGCTGATAACTTTTGTGTTGTGTTGTATATGGTATTTTGGGGAACTCGCTAAGATTTGTGCGTACAGTTTTTGATTATGTGTGTTTTAGGTACTTCTAATGATCGCGGGATGTCACACCCCTGAACGAGAACGACGGAAACGTCCGGAGGCGAGTGACGTGATTGTGTAGTATAATAACAATTGAATATAATTGAAACATAGCAAATCAAAACATCATACATTAAGATAACATACTTACATTGTTTTAAATCATGTATTTGTTCTCAAAATTACACAAAAGAGACAATAGTAAGTAAATTCCAAATTACAGCAAAATATCCCAAAATCCGTGATCCATGTACTTGCTTACTAATTTCCTGAGAATACAAGTCGTTTGAAAAGTGTCAACATAAAATATGTTGGTGAGTTCATAAGCATTTTTGTATAAAAATTAGAGAAAGTTTAGAAACCCAGAAAATTCAATATTTTCTTGTAAAAATAGTTGTAAGTCTTGTTTCCGATGAAGTGTAGTTTCATGTGTGTTTTAGTTTATCATTTTCGAAATCGTATAAAATCATTTTCTCCAGAAAATCCTATATTTTCTGATGTACAAAATAGTAGCCTTAAAAACTTTAAGACTTGTGTAGTAAAATTTCGTTTGAGGTGTCCATATGCTAATTGATTATAACAAAAGGTGTAACTTGCGCAAATTTCTAAATAATATTGTTATATTCTAAGTGAGTCGTTCCATACTAATATAACGGAGTGCATGTCTAGACGTTCTTCAGGCGTCGGTTTTGTTTAAGATATTTGTCACCCTAGACTGGCCGGTCTAGCTATACCGAACAACGAAGGTGCGGGGTGTCAACCCGTTATAGATTTATATACAAATTCCCGCTCTCCCTCTAGGAGACTCTATTTATAACTCTTACAGGATTTTAAGCGTACACTAGCATATATGTATAGTGAAGATGCGTCTGACTAGAATAGTAATTGGTATTTACGTAATTAGTTGAATTCCGTTATTTATTTAATAAATAACAATAGTTGTACTTGTTGACTAGATATTTTATTTCGTTTCATAACCTTAGTTGTGCTCATTGATTAGGTGTTTCGTTTCGTTTCGTTTATTGAAAATATTCCATTTTGGATCATATTTATAAAAAATGACTCAATATTATCAATGTTGGCAAAAGTGGCCCTTCTTTTTATAAATTATCAAATAAGGCCCACCTTTGACAAGAAGTGTCATGAGTGATCTGAAGATACGAGAATTGTTGAAAATGCCCCATTTCTTCTAAAATGCTCATTTTAGACTCTTATTTACGAAAATGTTCAAAACGACCCTTATTTATCGATAGTTCCATTTTTTGGCCATTTTAATTGAAATATTCATTAATAACTAAATGTTCTCCCAAATTTCAAAATGGCCTTTATATATATATATATATATATATATATATATATATATATATATATATATATATATATATATATATATGGCGGAAAATGTCCAAGAATAATAATATATTTATTATTTAACATCATAAATATATTATGCGTAACAACTTTGCTCAATAGTTCTTGAAGCAATTTCTTGTGGTTATTGACATAAAATCTTATGAATCATATTTCATATAGATTATAGTTTTTGTTTTTTAACCCACAATATGTGAACTATAGTTCAAGCTCTTGAGACTTGCTGAAAATCTCGAGTTCTTGACTATTCATATGAAGTTTCATAACCATAAGCACATATAACATAACATACATCCAAAACAAGCAAATATATGAAGATTTAAACAAGACTATGACTTGCATTCTCCCCCAATACAAGGAAAAACTCAAAAATAGGGGTATGAAGCTCACATTGGGTAAAGGAAAGGTGTGGTTGAAGAGGTGAGGTGAATATTTGGAGCCTAGAACACTTGAAGTGTTGGATGAACCTCTTGAGGATTTTTGCTAGCCTAAGGTTGTTAACACATAAATTTATGTGTGAGTAGAAGAATTTCAACAACTAAATGTGTGAAACATTACTAGACGTGAATTAACTTACAAGAACTTAGAAGAGATTGTGAAGAAATGGCTCCTGGATTTCTTGGTTGAATTCTTGAGAGTGTTTACGGAGTTCTCAGTGAATAGAAATGAGTTTGTAAAATGGAAAATGGGGTTTACGCTCCTTCTTATGGGAATGAGAATTGGATGGGATGTTTGCTTTGATTACTAATGGGTAATATCTATTACTAGAGGTTAATTCATAAGTTACTGGGATTTGCATTGGGAATTAGCCAATTACAGCTCACTCACCGTAAAGACATTGAATTAGAAATGGGTCCACGATCACAATGGGTTTAGACAAGGGTTTACGCTCCAAGGGAGGTCCACCAAAGGGTTTACGTCCAAATGGTGGCCCCTAATGGGGTTTACGGCCTAAAGGTGGCCTAGGATGGTGTTCATGGTCAAAGTTTCCTTCCTCAAATGCTGTTTACGGCCTAGGCTAGTGGTTCACGGTCAAGGTTTGGTGTTTTAAGGTAGTTCATGGCCAAAATGCTTCCTAGGGAAGTGTTCATGATCATAAAGTATATTAATTCTAAAGTGTTGGTTTTATAGTTTGTGTGATAAATATTTTAACGTAAATCAAATATCACATTTGATTTCATTGCTCATGAGGGTTTAGGGTAGCATAATTATCAAAAATTACATAACCATAACATAATAACAGTATAGTTACAATCTTTACATATACCGGGCTCCTTTGGCCTGGTTTTTGGGTCTGAGAATTTCTAGTTGTGACACGGGAAGGCAAAGGCTTAATTGTACACATTCACCTATAGTTTTTGATTCCGGATATTTTGGGACACTCTGATATTATTATGATGATTTCTATTGGATACTTGTGATTTTCTTGAGATGTGTTTTTATGAACAATGTTTTTTTAGTTAATGAAAAATGAAAATTTTGGTTTGAAAATTTGGATGTTACAAATTGGTATCAGAGCCTTGGTTTGCGGGATTTGGATGAACACTTGTGGGATTCCAAACTCAAACTAAGGATATGTGGATTTTCATAAAAACCTTTCAAAAAGAAAAAAAGAATGTCAAAGAAGGAACATCGAATGAAGCAGTGTGTACAATCAGCTAGAACATGAGCGGTAATTTCCCAAAATATTTCTAATTGTTTTATGTGATGTAGCAAGTTGTTATCTCATGAGTAGATAGAACCGAATACTAGTTGATAGGCTAAGGATCCCTAAGGAAGTGCGTAATAAAGCTTCCTGATTTGTGATGCCTTTAGCCTAGGAGGTTGCTTTTATAATATTGAACCTATTGTTACTGTTTTCTTGGTGTATGTTGCATAATTGTACATAGTTAGGATTTATTAGGCTGAGAATGCCTGATTTAGCCTTTTTCCTATTCCTTGTTTGGTTGTGGACTTGAGGTAGAACCATTTATTCGATTGTCTAGTGAGTCCTACATTATGTACGATTGGCATACACGAAGCAAATGGCAAGGATAACGAAGATCTTTGCGAGGCAAAGTGGTGTTTGGGGAGTAGTCCAGGACGAGTGCATTGGTGCTTAGTAGTGGTTATAAGGAACCTTTATGGTGGGAACATAAATACCCTTGAGGAATAGATTCCTTGTGACTTAGGGTCTTAGTAGGATGACTTGAGACAA